TCTCTCTCTCTCTCTCTCTTTCTCTTTCTCTCTCCATTTATTTTGTTATGCATAACAATATCACATATAATATCAAATATCTCTCAATTTAGTCAAAAAGAATTATATGGGAAAAAATTTGAGAAAACGAGGTAAAGATCCTCGCATTCGCATGAATAACAAAATCCGATACCAAAATAAAATCCATTTTCTTGGTATCAAAAATGAAAGCTTTAAATTTTTCACAGAATAAAACAATTTGAAATTTATAATAATGTCAATTTCTCAATAGTAAGATCACTGGTAATAAAACCATCGGTGGATATAATGCTTTCATTCGCAATAGGGTTTACTTGTAATATATTTCTCAAAAGTCAGTCGTAAAAATTGAATGATTAAATGATTTGTTTTGAAATATTTTAAGTAAACTTTTAATTTATCTAAAAATAGCAAATTTTTGATACATCATTGTAAACAACTTCTTGAATGACTTTTAATTTTACACTTAAAACGTTTAATTATTAGTTTCTATGTTATTTCTTTACAATGTTATATGCTTTATACTCATGAGGGCCAGTGATATAACAACCCACACATACAACACTTGTAATAAGATTACAAAATATTTTAAATGTTTCTAGAATCTTTATGAATCATAAATTATGATTATTATAAAGAATCTTCATTGATTTTTGTCATAATAATTGTAAATCTTTATTGAAATCATTATCACCAATAGCTGGTTAGTATAATATTTAATTATAGTCACATTTAGTGTTTACATATTATATGAATTTATAAATATTAATATTTAAAGAGAAATTTTAATTCAAATTTTAAATTTTCATTTTAAATGTGAAATGTATTTTAGAAATAGTAATAATAAGTTACGATTGCTTTCTGTTATTACTTATCGATTAAAATGAAATTCTTTTGGATCTCAAACAAGAATTATCTCAACAATCGTTGCAAACATTGGCGGAAATGAAGTCCGAAGAGAATAGTTCCGCACTTTTTCGACATTTCTCTTAACATAATATTAGAGGGAAAGAAATTTTCATGTTTACAGACATTATGTTATCGTGTCTTACAGTATATAAAAAGTTATATATCTTTAATATAGTGGAGATAAGTCTGTATATTAGGAGAAATAGACATTAAATACGAGTTTCTGTTATAGAGTTGACTTCATCTTTACAATCGAAAGGATAATTTCAAAAACGACTCTAAAATTAAATGTCAAACATGTTATAACATAAAATACAGTGTAAAATGAATAGCAAAAAAAAAATGATGGCACCGGCAAAATTAAAAATAATTACTTTGTAATAACGAGAATAGTCTTATAAACATTATTTAATTAGTTATAAATTTTCTATACATTTGCGATATTGTGTCTTATATTTGTTAAGTATTTCCCATTTACTAAACGAAAATTTATTTCCCTTTATTATATTATATGTGAAATAAAGTCTTTTGTCGTACGAAATGATTTTCAGAGAGATTTATAAATAATTAGATGTCTTTCTATTTGGGAGACGTCTATGATATGGTTGTACTGTATTGTCGACACAAAAATTGCCAATTATTGATATAACTTTATGGTTAAAGATTGTCGTTATGACCAAAAATTTATTGTTTTTTNGTCGTACGAAATGATTTTCAGAGAGATTTATAAATAATTAGATGTCTTTCTATTTGGGAGACGTCTATGATATGGTTGTACTGTATTGTCGACACAAAAATTGCCAATTATTGATATAACTTTATGGTTAAAGATTGTCGTTATGACCAAAAATTTATTGTTTTTTTAGCCAAAAGCTATTCTAGTCTTATGTTTTTATGTAATAAAATTGAATAAAACATATCTTATTCGCAATCGATAAAATTCAAATAAATATTCTCATGATATTTATTGCATTAAAGCATTGCTTAAATTAAAATAATATATAAATTATAACAAATAGCGGAAAAGTTATACTGGATTTGAATAAAAATCATTTGTTAAGAGAAAGAAATCGCTAAATTATAATATTATTTCATAATAAACTTAAACCTTTTACTGTATATGCATTATAATGGCGTTATAAATGGTTATTATTTTAATTTTGTTCATTAAATTTACTTTAAATACCATTAATCTGTTTGATCCTATTTTGTATATAATAAATGACATTTAAAATTATAATTATTATTATTTTTGTAAAATATAAATATTGTTAAAGAGAAAGACAAACAGAATAGCGAACCGATAATACAATGTATGGATAAACACAAAGAAAAGGATTATATTTGAAGAATAAATACATTGTATGATATGATAGAGAGTATAGAAAACGGTAACAGAATTAATACTTTAGAATATTTTTTGGGCTAAAATCTCGGTATAAATTATTTTGAATGCATTTTGATGTTTGAAGTTTGATGAGAGGGAAGGAAGTTATACAAGACTTGTGTCAAAGGATAGGCTCTAAAAAATAGTGCATTTGAATTATAATAGGTTTTAGATTATGTTTCGCAATACACTGTACTGTATATTATATACACTATACAGAAGTGATGGGTATTTGACATAAATAGGGAGACGCCGTCTTTGCACATGTCTTACTTCTGTCCCTAATTCAGTGCATTGAATGTCGTGTAAGAAAATGAATTAATAAAACACTGGCTATAGTTTTGTGGTAAACCAGATCTAACTCTTATCGCCATGAGATTGATTGATATTTATGTCCACCATTTGCCACATTATTGACCACTCATTCTCTTCTCTGCTTTTCATTTCTTCCTTTCTTTTAGTAGAAAAAACCTAAACTAAAGACACGGAAGAAGAAAGCGAATGGTTTTAAACGAATGGCTTTTGTTATACAATAGTCAAGTGAATTGAGTGAACAGTCGTGTCAGCACTAGAGGATCCCTTAACACAAAGAATATCAGCTTTTATATGATATTAGAAAATAACAATTAAGTTAATAAGTCTTATCATCAAAAGAAAAGACAAAATAACAAATAAGACAAATATATAACCAGTATATGAGAGACCAATAGATATGATAGAAAACGTCAGTAAAATTCATTATAGAGGAGCACAAACCGAACGGTGCAGTCGTAGGGCCCGTCCATAAGTGACCATCCGATGGACGCCGTAAACAATACGTACGGAAGTATCACATCGTCTCAAATCTTCAGCTGGTGTGCCAACGAGACCGGAGCCCCAGATCTCGACACTACACTCGTTGACACCGACACCTACGGCGAGGCCAACCAAACGCTTAGCGAACTCTGCAGTATTGTTACCAATAATAGGACTCAAGGAGTTTTTGAAGACGATATATTACCGCCGCGTCAGTACTCCGAACGCTATATTCAATATGACATCAATTAATTGTATCTTATTTTTGACCCCCCGTTAGGACTCGAAGCCCTTTTAGTGGCCTCATTAGGCCTAATGATTGTGGCCACAGTTATCGGCAACATTTTGGTCTGCCTTTCGGTCGTATTGGTCCGCAAACTTAGACATCCATCCAATTATTTACTCGTAAATAGCATTTTAATCATATTTACATATATTTTCCACTGTGTTTGAGATTGTTTCGTCTGAATTAGCATTTAATTTCTCTATTAAATAGTGATATACTACTGAAAGTACATTTATTTTTGCATGTTTTCTGAATAACTGTCTAAACATTTGAATAATTTTATTACAATAAATGAGATTATTATAAGTAGTTTCAGTGAATAATAATAACAATTCGCTGTTCAAAACACATTATTTATATTTAAAATTGTTATACAAATCAGTGACAGACAAATATTACTATATTTTTAGTTTTGCATATAAATACTGAATTTATAATATTTGAAATGAAATCAAAGGTTGAAAACTAAATGCAATTTTCTTAGCGCTGCTGTCATTCAATTTGAGAGACATTGAGAATAATTTTAAACAAAAATATAATATCCGTAAAAGACTCGTCGGAATCAGTCGTCAAATTTTGATTCACATTTAAAATCACGATATTTTT